TGACTAACTGAATCAATAAAGAAATGTGGCACATGGCCAGGTAATTATATAGGTATAATTATAGTTGGAGGGGGGGGAAGAGAAGAAAATATTCTATTATTGATGACAGAGATAATTTGATGAATGGAAAGTTTATAGTGAACTTCATATAATTTGTGTAACTCTACTGTGTCACACTCCTTTAATCAAAAATAATAAGGATTTTTGATTCTATTTTTCTATGTAATTTGTGTAACTTTGCTGTGACAAGCTTGTCACACTTCTTCCAATAAAAATATGTAATGCATTTATGCACAGACAGAGTTTTATCATGTGAGTCATATCAGCTGTTTTTGTCATACATACTTATCATAGTAACTTGGTATTAGTGGTGCTGAAATTATCAGCAGTCCCATGACTGTAAGCCACACAAGCCATCAATAAGTTTAATTACACAAGAAAAAGGGCAGTCCCATGACCATCAAACACATGATTTTTTGGTAAAGTCCATTGATCTTTATTGTTGTAATATAATGATAATAATACACTAAATATAATAATAAATAAACTTAATAATCATTAAAATTTCTAGTGTGGTATGTATAAAAAGAATTATCTTAACCAGAAGGCTAACTTCTGATTTCTGGGGGGTTGCCAAGTTAACTGTTGTGTTCTAGCATTTAAGGCTTCATTACATGCTAGAGTTTCATCAATCAAATTTTGTCTAAGCCTTATATATTTGTCAAAGAGATTATCATTCTCAATATTTTGTTCAAGAATAAATTTAACAATTTGAAAATCTTTTGTCAGTTGCTAACATGGCCTTTCTACTTTCTAGGGTTTTTGGCAATATTGGGCCCTGAAATTAATTATCTTAATGTGGGAAACAATCTCCTATTACTATGGTATCAAATCTAGCTCAGATACTTGATCCACTTGATTCACTCTCTCCAGATACTTCAGTATAGTTTCTGGTTCATTTGAAGAACTTTGTTGTATGTGATTCCATGGAGTATTAATTGAATGAATTCTCAGAGGATTGTCTTCTCCAAAGTGGATAAATGGATAATTGTGCTGATGTGACATATGGAGGAATATCTGGATTGCTGGCAGCATATGTTTGTACCAGGTGTTTATACACCAAATATGAATTATTTACAAAAGTGGGACAAGAACAAATCCATTTATCAACATCCACATGATAGCTTTCTAGGCATTTGGTATCCTTTTCAAGGCATTTTCTCTAATCAGTTTTGAAGGCTTTCCACCAAGATGGATATGCTCAATTGTTTTTGTATAATTGCCAAGTGTTCAACATGTCTGGGATCAGGCAGCCTGTTATAATATGATTTAAATGACCAAGACAAGGTCTGTTATAATTATATTTGTAGTTGTGTTTAAGAACCTGCCAATGGGATTCAATGATCATTGTTGTTCTTGCTATAGGCATGGCTCTTTGATAGGATGATCAAGCAAAAAGCTTCCAATTTTTCTTATTATACCAGTTCATCCACAAATATGCCCATAAGTGAACAAGATTTCTCTGTTGACAATATTGATAGATCTCAGACATGCTTTTGTGGTATATTTTGTCAGATGTAAGAAATACGTTTATATCTACTGGTAAGCAGATGAAGAATTGAATTTTTTTTACCAAGAAGTCCTTAACTGCCTTTGCATCTGCCTCAGAACATAGGACTCTGTCTTCCTGTATTAGTATGTAGGAATCCAGTGCAGATCAATAAAGGTGAAACATTCATTTGCCTCCCTTGCATGCTGAATTGAGTATTGTGATGACTTGTGATCAATAGCACGTTCAAGATGCCAGAGACATAGTTGAATGTTTGTTGTCCAAGACCAAGCCTCCTGTACTGCCACAATTTGTCCCATGTCCTTGTCAAGAAGAATGAACAAAGGTAAAATTTGTTCTGCTCTAATTGATTGGAAAAAGATCATAAGAGCCATAATAATAACGCGATTATTAATTAATAGGATTTTGTAAAAGGTCTTCAGATGCAGTGAACGTATCAAGATACAAATAAGCAAGTGGCATTCCAAATTCTCCACAATTAATTATTAAGGCAAACAACTCAAATTTTTCTTGATTGTTTTGAATGTCAAATCAATAATAAGTTCATTAATATTGTCTTTTGAAATGTTGTTCATGAAAGGTGAAACCAAATGCTCAAACAAAATCATTTTTGATATGAAAGATTAGTTTATAACCCACATCAATCAGTTCAGGTTGCTGCATGTAATCTTTTGTTGAAATAACTTGATTTTTTATATTCATTATATATTGTCCAGCAGAAAGTTTGAGTGCCCAATAGTACACTTTATGATAAGTGTGTTTTGTTGGATCTATCAACTTCTCCTCAGAAAGCCTTTATGAAATTCTACCTTGCAAAGATTATGGTTTAGATTTGCTTTGATCCAGTTTTTGCTATTGAGGCAGTCTAGTTTCATGGTAAGTTGGCTGCTGCTGATGATGTAAGTGATTGAACATCAGTTTGACTTGTCTCAAAGGAATATTGATGTTTATTTTGATCTTTCCATTACAAGCAAATCATTCAAAAGCCAGTCATACTTTACTGATTCATTGTACAGGTTGATCAGAAGGGTGCTTATGTTGTCATTCAATTCTTTGAGAACAGAATAGGTAAGCACTGGCACATCCATAAGGTTAATCGGCCTTTGTGTTTATATAAAGTTTGTTCAGTTCCCAATAGTATTTTGATCCAGCTTCAATCAAAATTACTAAAGTGTTTATAATATGATGGAAAGTGTTTTGACTGATATTATTTTGATCTATTTCATGTAGTGACATCTCAACAAGTTCATCACTTAATTCAACTGTGACCGAAAATTGAACATGGCTATGCTCTTCTCCTTCTTCCTCTTGAAAATGCACAGCAACAAGTTCTTCGAGATCACCTAATTCATAGATAAGTTCTTCATTTTCTTTGTCACTTTCTATCAACTGATTCGAGTCATCATCACTTGCCGGCAGTTCATAACTTGCTGTATTTTTAATATTAGGGGCCTTTATTCGTTGCAACTTGTTTTTTCTGTGCAGAGCAGCGATTGCATACTGCCCATGGGCCAGTTTTTGTGCCGCGAATTCTCATAAAATCATCGATCGATCTCGTTACTCTACAACGCGTGCACATTTTCGGTTCAGGAAAATCTATAAATTAGAATATCATCGATAGTAATAGTTAATTAAATTGTTTCATGCATAGATGTTATTTTCGTCATATCAATAATATATTTGAAAACCAACCATCCATATTAGTATTTGATGCCTTAGAGTATTGTAGTATACTAATACTAAGTAATTGCGTTTTTTATGATGATTGTAGAGCAACTCATGTCTCTTTAGATAATAATTTCATGAATACAATCGCGCTTTAGTTTTTGGAAATTTATTTTATGTAATAATTAATATGCGTTTATTGACGTCCTTATATGGAAATATCTTGATCTATCGCTATATCTAATTTGCTAAACATAGGAATCGTATCGGTATTATAAACAACAAAATAAAGAATACTGCATTTAATGGCTTATTTATCAAACTTTATTTGTTATAAAACAATGGTACAGCTTCGGCTTTTATATTTCAATCTAGCAAATTATTCATCATCCAATCATAATAATCGCGTGTGTTCGATGATCATGGGACTGCCCTTTTTCTTGTGTAATTAAATTTGCCCAATAACATTGATGGCTTGTGTGGTTTACAGTCATGGGACTGCTGATAATTTTCGGCACCACTAAGTTACTACTCCTTTAATACAAACGCTATGAACGTGTCTGGGCAGAAAATGATTCTTGAAAACTTAGACCTCGACCTGAGCTATACCATAGAAGAATTCGAATTAATCAACAAACAACTCAAGACAAGTTCCATTGAAATTAAAGGTCAACCAATAGACCTCTTTGAACTCAATGAAAACGGCAAACTTATACCTATGCCACAAGTAACTGTTGAATTCGAAGCCGTTGTTGGTGAGATTGCAAGACAACTCGGAAATTGGAACGTATGGAATCGTCAGGATGGTATTATCACAACTTCGCAAGGAGGATACGACTTTAACGTTGGTGGTCAAAGAAAAATCGATGCTCCAGATGTTGCATTTCTATCTAGGGAAGTATATGATAGCTTGACTAAACAGCAACGTCGAACTTTCCAGGGTCCACCTTTCTCCCCTATATTCGCTGTTAAAGTCGCAGACATCTCAAAGCAATCAGATTTCGAAAGGCTGGATTTTAAAATAAAAAATGATTATTTCGCGATGGAATCGTCTGTGCGCCTTGCGTGGTTAATAGATCCAGTGAACAAAAAACTTCATTTATACAGGAGGGGTATGAGACGATATCCATGGGGATGGAGAGACATCGGTGGTGACGACGTTTTACCGGGATTTACATTGGAAGTGTGGATGATCGATGAAGTTATTAAGGTATATTATTATTATATATTACCACTTTTTATGTTGTAGATTCTGCTATTCAATGTTATGTGATCATTCACAGAAAGAATTAGAATCGGGAAGTTCAGGATCATCGGAAGGGCAAGGATTATCAGAAATGCAAGAATTACCAGAAAGGTCGGAACCTTCGGAAATGGAAGAATCACCAGAAATGTCGGAACCTTCGGAAATGGAAGAATCTTCAGAAGGGTCGGAAGTTTCAGAAGAATCTTCAGAATCAAACCTCGACTGTCCTAAATGCGATGAAATCTTCAATAATTATTACGATTTTATGAAACACGTCGAAAGTGAACATATACGGCGTAGGCGTAGAGTTTAGTTCATGTATACAAAATTTTCGGCTAAAGTATTTTGTACGTGGAAAGTTAGAATTTTCTTCTATTTAGTTATTTTAGATTGAAAAGTTTGCTAAATACAAAGATAAAAAAGTAATAATCAGATCAGATGTTGCATAGGAGAGATAATAATTGTACCAATGATTACATACTTTTTTTCCTGTTAGCTTTCAGATCTATTTTACGCTTGTAAAAGTCTCTTGCGTTCTAATATTTCCTCGCGAATATTTCTTTAGACTTGAGATATGCGGACGTGGATTAGGGGCCGAAAATCTGTTATCCCATTCAGAATAGCACAGCGAGGCTGATAATGTAGTCTAGATTTATTGTTTCGTAGTTATATAGCCACCTTGTAACTACCTCTGGAAAATCGATACAACTCGTGATTAATATTAATTGCCGATGTAAATATATCAATGATGATTGTTGGTTAAATAAAGGGATTGCGTATGCAAATATATCAGCGGAGCCTTGGGTGCATCATCAATCAAGGTTGATAAAAATAGTGATTCCCTATATTATCATATGAATCACACTACGATTACGGGCTACATCACGGTTGATTAGGCACCTTGTGCCTGCGAAGCAAAAGTCGGATCATGAAGTTAGTTAATTAAAATCCGAAGTTTTAAATAAATATGCTTTCTGTATAATACACATAATATCAAGCATGTCTTCCGAACTAGATTTACTCAGTCAAGAAAATGCTAAGCTTGTGGCCGAAAATGCTGAGCTTAAGCACGAAAATTCAAAATCAAAACAGATTATAGAAGACAATGCCGAGTTTAAGGGCCAAAATCATGAAACTGGAACAAACTGTTGATAAAATTGAGAAGCAGAATCAAACTATAACTGATATCTCGCAGTCTCCAGTTTGTTCATCATTGCCAGTAACATCCCAATTATCTTCCCCGCCACCTATCGAGGACCACTCTGATAAGAAATATAGCGTCAGTGTAAATCAGCTGAAAACTGAACCCATATCACCTGAAAATAGGTGGTCGATGAATTCGTGAATTCAATGTATAAGGAACAGGTTATAGCAAAGAGATAATAATGAGAAGAAGCTTCGAGCCCAAAACCTATCTACAGCGGAATCAGAAAAAGTCTATGTTACCCAATTATCACATGACTTAAAAATAAAATTCACGATCAAAATCTTGACGAATCCTTGTCTTTATCTAAGCCATCTATTAATTATACAGATTCATTCGAATATAATGATGATCTTTCTCAGCCTGATAAAAACCAGATCATAGAACAAGATTTAAAACAAGAACTATTTACCTCTCCCATCTCCAGAAAAAATATAACTAGCAATCAGAGCTTACTGGATGTGAAAATTAATATAATCAGGTTACGGCACAAAACATAGTTTTTATGTTTCGAAAAGCAATTCAATCTGGTCGGAAGAAATTTTGCAATTGGTGTCGCTATATAGAAAGGTATGGTAAAAGGGTTAATGAGATTATGATAACATGCCTTCTGATACTACCTCCAGCAAGATATTAACTGATGACTATTGCAAATGGCATGCCAATTTAGTTGATTTACCAAGTCCTCAGACAGATAAAATTCGTTCTAGATTATATAAAGCATATATATGGAAGAGACTGGACTCGATCCTTGGATAAAGTCTGAAACTTCTGAATCCTCACAAATTAGTGAAGTTAATACGATCAAAAAGGATGCCAATAATTATATCTCACAGGATTGTATTATCAAAATTTCCAAGTTTCCAGAAGAGAAAGATATGATTATTGAAGCAGTACAGAAACGATTTCCTTTCTTGCCATATACTAATTCAAATGCATGGTATCGAGATGTTTTTAAATATATTGATTCGGAAGCTAAATGTCCAATATGCAAAGAAGTACATACTTGTTTAGGAATATGGGGTGATCGGTAAAAATGATCACTATTTTCTTAATTGCCCTTTTCATATCGATCAAAGAAGTTATAATCGCCATACAGAGCTTACCGGAAATTCAAGTAAGTGTACCAAACAAAACCTGCCTTTATCAGCCAGAGGCTGGCTTACGCCAATATGCCATCGAACATGGAATGGACCCCGAGAAATTTTCGGTCATTGCTGAGGCAGAGAAAAATAGATGGACCATGGGTTGCTTTCGTGCTGATTTGGAAAGAGATATACGTAATACGCTGTTACCAAGGTGGGAGGAAATTATCGTAAATTTTTAACAGATCGTGATAGGCTAATCGGAGATGTCGCAGTATATACTAAAGAGTACTGTATGCATGACAATTTGATGAAAGAATGGGAAGAAATCCATACTCAATTCGTACAAATTTTTAGCCAGGGATAATAAGATCGAGAGGTCTAATCACGTCAAATCTTTTTTCAATATGTGTCAGAACCTTTCTCGATAATATCTTCGATGGAGGTACCTCTATCAATACTTTCTCAACTTCTTTTTCAGTACATATATATACCCACATTATATGTATTAATTTCCCACCTTTAAAATTATGTCCATGATGTTGCAAAAATCTATACTCATTTATTACAATATCCGCAATCTCCTCTTGATCTGCTATTAATTTCTGAAAAAGCTGTCTATCTTCTTCTGTGATTGGGAGACAGATCTTTTCAGGCTCGAACCCTATATACTGGGACAATTTTTCACGTAGAGGCAAAGCCTCATTGCTCTGCAATAATTCAGCCATTTTATATATTACTGAGATTTTAATATAAGTTATTTCGAATGTACAAAAAATAGTTATGCTTGTTGAAAAAAATGTCGACGCAAGTACAATCATGACATTGAATTAGTTGAGAATTTTGCTAGGGGTTACGACGCTCTCACTTCACAAGGGTAGCAGCCAAAATTTATTAGTTTTATATAACTTAAAGTACAATCAAAATGATATAAATTTTAATAGCGGTTATTAAGACATTGTTTGTACACATGTGGCTTAAAAAATCGATTTTTATATGTTTTGATAGCTGATTCTTACGTTGTACGTATAAATTCGGCATACCAAACTTTGCTATTTATACCATTAAAAAGAGCATTTGACGAGTCGGACGATGTAAATTATATTATGTGGATTTCTGAGTAAACTAGATTTGAAGTGATGTGATTGTGAAGCTTGCATTTATAATTTTGTCAGGGGGGTGTACTATATGTCATATTTATCCGTTATGAGGTTTTGAATTTATGGGGGTTTACTTAATATTTTAACACTTTACACAATGCAAACCATCTTCTATCGTTGCCACCCTAATAGCACCGGCTATCAATTCTGCCCTACGTGAAAAAGCTGACATTGATATGTATCATAATATAGTTTTTCTTATCTTTATTTATAATTTCAGCCAAGTTACGTAAAAAGTTTTGCTATCAACGTTCCCAATTTACTAACTAGAAATTGTGTTATGCTACTTTATTCCATTGAATTTATTGCTCCACAAATAAAGTTCTCCAAACTATCAACAGCTTTTAAATAACTGCTGGCTCTCTCTTGTAAATTAGAAGCATTTTTACATTTTTGAAATTAAATACAGTCGCATCTCCATAAGTGCACGCTCTCGAGACTCGGCATTTAAGGGGGGTGTATACTTATAGAACAACGAATAGAAGACTAGAAACTGGTACGCAAAATGTCAATTAGTATTTTCCTCTTTATTATCAATCACATTCTAAGTCAAACGTAATACTGTTTGTTTTTAAAGCGCAAGCATATACATGTTTTCGTATTCGGTTAACCGGCTTAAATATGTCGCTTGTATTCTCTTTATAGACCCTAAAAATATAGTACTTTTATTGACTCCAAGTTTCTACATTTTAGTCAAACCAACGTTATCCCTGCTGATATTGGCAAAGAAGTATATGTGGCAATTTAGTTTAAAGATATGCTGTATGTGTAGAATTTAAGCCCTGAATTGCATAAACTTGTAGCGTTCTTTAATAGAGTGATGCGCCAGTCAGTTTTAGCAGGTTGTTTTAAAAAACCGCAATAATTATACAAATACACTCTAACCACACATGCCGGTAGGTTTGCTTACACTATAGGCTAGGCTTGTGTAGTATACAATAAACCGTTCATCACATCATACTAACGATAATGGACAGATCTGGCATACAAATTACGGAAATGGATTACAAACTCAATCTCCGTTTTAAATAGTCGAATTGCAATACTATAAGTTGATTGCAACAAACCTAAAATCCAGGATTTGATCTGTTAAATAAAGTCGTGAATGACTATCCTCTTTAATAACGTGATTCTGCTGTCAAGTCAATAATTTATTTTACTGTTTGCAAAAACGTTATTGCTACATTTATTTTTTTCAAGTAAATAGTAAAATTTGACAAAAGCATTCGAACATGAACAGAAGATATTCCTCATTTAAAATTGAATGTTATTTTTACTATTTTCACCAAGAAATAAACAGCAGCAACAAACAATAAACAATAAACAATAATAATATAAGATAAATTACTAGATAGCGATGGAACAACTAATTAATTCCAAACGTCGAATTTGTCGCCTTTAAAGTGTAGTGGTAGTGGCTCTAGTTCTGGTACTGGTTCTGGTACTGGTAGTGGTACTGGTAGTGGTACTGGTACTGGTGCAGCTAACAACAGCTTCTACTGGTGCAATTCCCAAAATTCTTTCGTTAGGAGGAACCGATCCACGAATTGATGCAAATTCTTCCACGACAAAGCAACATTGGTCTCTGATGCTGCTAATTGGTAGATTTACGGATGTGAGGATTGGCGTGCCGAAAGACTCCAAGTCCAAGTCGATGGTGGCAAGGTCTCCAGGTGAATCGGTAAAGGCCGTGCTACACTTGGCCACGTGAATATCATAAAAAGCTTCAACTGCTCCGTTTATTGTACCCCTAATATCGATAAAACCACTGATTTGCAAAGTGTCTCTGGGCGACTGCGTAAATTCAAGAAACCCGTCAAATGTATTGCCAAAGAATCTGGGTGGTCTCAGGGGAGAGTCACCTTGCGTAAATACACATCTAGAAACAGGACAACATTGTTTAAGCCATTTCTTTTCAAGAGGCGTGGCATTGGCTGGCGTGGGGTCGGTGAAGATCAGAGCGGCCAAGAGAAAAAAAATATAGACTGATTTCATTTCAAATTAATTCTTTTGACTGTTTGTCGTTGGAAGTGAGGAAGCCTCGAAAATCGCACTCGATTTTATAGTTCGCGAACAAAACTCATACAAAGTTTGATGTATATTCCTCATCAGGAAAGGCTTTTCTTGGAATCTGTTTAGCTCTCTCAAAATAGAATAAATCGCTTCGTCATAAACACCATTCTAATGTAACGAATTCGATAACGAAAGTGGGCGTTTTTAAAAGAACTATTGTTCAGAGATACATCGATTGTTATTACGAAAATCAAGTATTTTTCTTGTAAATTTTATTAATGATGTCATTCATCAAGTTCGATCTTTTTCACAAAGAATCACTATTACAAGTTTTTTAATATCGTAGGTTAAACCTCAGAGTACATACTTGTGCATCGAAGCCTCCGATGAATGTGATGACATGATTTTCTTTTTACATTCACAATCGTGAAATAGTAATGTCAATAACAATATAGAAATTTGTTACAGAAATAGAACAACAATTAATTCAGACGATTGTTATGATACATTTGTTAAATGTGTGTGTTCTCTTTACGCTTGGACATAATAATAAGAATAACCGTGGGAAAGTGGTTGACCATTAAAATCAAGATAGCAAACAATAGGCTATCCGACTTGTTATCCGATTGTTTTATTAAATCAAATTCCATACGAAAGCGATTGTGTATAATATTGTTATTGTTTGGAACAATGATTTTAATAACTGCGCTCTCGTATCAACGAATAAACTATTAAGTAAATAAAGAAAAGCTTCGGGCCGAGAACAGCCTGCACGACGTCATGACTAGCACAAATTTAACTCAAAAAGTCGAGACAATAATGCTATTGATAAAAAGTATTTTAGGCTAGGATCAATTTGCAAGGGGCATGGACAAAAATTTTGATAATACAATCATGTCATGAATATTTTTGCATCAGGAATGTCTTCTAAAGGCTGCACGTTAAAAGTTGGCAAGCCTAAAATGGGAAACTAAGGAATTTGGACAGCTAATGTCAGTTACGATAGATATATGTTCTGATTCGAGTAAGAGGAGCAACCATATTAGGCGGCATTACTTCACGTTTTTCTAGTTATCTGATAGCATCCATTCAAAGAAATGAATCCTGACATGTCCAAGTACAATTGCGTAATACTAAGCGGCAATGACCTTAAGTTGATAAGTTGTATATGTAAACAGAAACGATAGGCGTTCTATGGGAAAGTGACGTTATGAAATACGGACCCGTTACAAGATAGTAGTAGTACCAGTCGGACGTGTTATCCATATTGAGTGTTTTCGTGCAGATAAATATTACGACTATAAATAACTTTCCTTCACCCACTTATTTTTGTCAAGCCATTTATGTATTTGTACCTCAGTATTATATCTCAGTTTGCTACTAATACTAAGAAATAGTAAACGGTGGTCTTGGAGCACAATCTTTCGATATCTACAAAATTAGTAAGCAAAAGTGGCAAAGTGAGTTAAGCAAATACTTTTTCGTTGACAATTCAGGACTAGTGACCAATTTTGAAGGACACTGTTGCAACAAAAACCTGCCCATAGCGTTTTAACTAGTCTTGTTACATTAACACAAGCAATAATCAATGCAATTGTTGACGGCGGTGCAAAGCCCCTTTTCATAATTAAGCACGTTAACAGTCGCGAATTTCATCGTGTGCTTCTTCTTGCATACGTAGTCACTGTCTGTAATTGTCTTATTTTCTTATATTGTACCCGGTTTTTTCAAATCAAAAAAATTTCTAGTAGATCACAATCTGCGATATTAGTTTGTCAGAACATTCGACTTTGTATTTTTATACAGTATTTTGAGTTCGTTTCATAGACGGAATATCTTGCATTTGGTACTATAGTCGAATAAGCGTTCTAAACAAAGAACAAAATAAATACGCTTGTTATTATTAGCAACTATAACATATTGAGATTTAGAATCAGCGTTAAAATATTATGCATGTAACACATCGATAAAGCGTCATACGCTATTCTCTTAAAGGTAAATGACGTTTATTGTTCTAGCACAATACTCTGAACAAAGAGCATTTTTTAGATTTGAAAATGTTACTTGATATCAGTTGATTCAAAAATAATGATGATAAAGTTCATGTTAGTGGTTACAAAGTGGTATATCTGCAGTTTGTTCGTTTAATAGTTATCATGAGGTTCGAGTTTGTAAGCTGCAGATGACAAAAATGTCTACATGAATATAAACCCCCATTAGATGATGTTAATTTATGATTAACATGATTTGCTGACAATCTGAGTAGTATTTGTACGATACCAAAAACGAACATACAAAGCCAAAATGACGCAGACAATAGGGGTTATTATTATGTTGTATAATCGGTATAACGCACACTATTTGGTTTGTCAATTTAAGTAATATTAAGGGGATAGTATGATCTTCGTCACAAATCTGGTAAGCGTCGACTAGATGTAAATTTGTGAACTCTTTGTTGACGTCAAGACATAGTTTACGTTGTTGAAAGATTTATGTCATTTTAAAAAAGTTAGTGCATGTATTGATGAACTGTTGGTATTATGTTATGCAGTGAAGGGAGCAAGTTGGCTTGGCTTGTTAGATCCAAACTTGCAAGTTTTTTGCCTTTTAGAGGTTTTCTGTATTTTAAATTGTATTAAGTCCTGACATTCATGGAAGCTTATTCGCAAATTGTTCGTTAACTTGTTTTCATTTCTACATACGTGCAAGTCATCGTTTTTCAGTGAAAAAGCTGGGGTCGAGAGTCCGCGAGAGTTGTGGCTTGGATCATAACGGTCATCACCTCAAGACGATCGTGTTACGGCTGGAGAGTGTATATGCCGATTGCTTGTACCAAGTCTGGACGTGGAGAGGAAAGTGTGTTACAACGCAGCTATTAGTGCACAAAGTTGTGATCAATCCCATAACATATTCTCCGCCGTTTTGATAATAGTCTATAGCGCTTTGACGACATCATACGTTGACGTCGCGGGGATTATTTTGCAGTATGTAATGTTCAAAGTAATGAATAATTGGCTCCTTTGCAAATTTTAGAATATTCTATCAGCTTTTAGTATTTGCGTAGCTTGAATGTAATGTCAATGATATGGACAAAACTTCTTTGGCTTGATTTCGTAGAATGTGAGTACGATAAGCAATTGGCTTTATAGCTTAAAAGCTTAGTTTTTCGACAAACATTTGGAATGTACGTTTGCTTCAACAAATTAACTTTCTTATGGAATAATGTTGCGGATAACGAACGTTTCACTGTCTTTTGAGCTTAATTAAGAAACTGTTTACAGTTTATTATCTTACACAATATTGTACGCTTGACACTAAGTGGAGATTTCGGGGGTATAACGTTATTTATTAAATAGATAAAGTAACACTATACTTATGTTCATTCGAGCTAAAAATCACGTACTCACATTTTTACCCGAAAAACAGAGCTTACATTTTAACATGTATTCGTTACAGACACATGACAAGAAAACCCGTTTATCATTAGAATATGAATATGAACGCTGTTTTTTATTGCTTATATTTGCACGTGAAAGAATAAAGAAATAAGTTTGTATATCCATAAAGGGTTAGTTTGCCTTCAATAGCATAGTCCCTCATTTCCTAATCCAATTCTGGCATATATTCTCCCTTTTCTCCTCATCATATGATATGGGCTTTATTCTCATCCTCTACATGTAATGTAGATAGATAAAAATAGCTTAAACTAGGCTTTACATTTAGCAAGCACCTCATTGTTGTCGCGATATATAGTCATTACCTTCAACCTAAGAGAGAAATTTCGATATAGTGAATCAATGTATGCAGAATACTCGTTGATGCAAAAATTGACTTCAAATTAAGTACATTTATGACAGTTACTCGCTGTTTAAACAGAGACAGATATAATTTGCTTTTGTTTAAAAGGCAACCGTTTCAATCCGAGTGAACGGCGAAACGATTGTTGATCGCTGTCGATGAAATTACTGTCATTATCGAAATGATTGTCGCTCCTCCCATGTTACTCAAAAATCTTTTCAATTTCACATTCACGTGGAAAACATCATATCCATTAGCTCAAGATGAAACAAAATGATTTAAATGGTAACTCCGGGGAGTCTACAACTTGTCTACCCCATATTTCAACTGTTATATATAGTAATCACATCTGTTACACACCAGATACTAATCTCTCCCCGAAATAAACACCTACCAATAATAAGAAGATAAAACCGGTCTATAAATATGCATGCAATATCAATAAAGCCAAAATAATAAACTTGAATTTGCGATGAAAACTTACGACTATCCGTTTTATTTTTAAATCTCCCACACTTTGGAATGGATCGTAAGTGCTAAACAGACATTGGCAAAAGCTTTGAATTTTTTTTTTCGTGGTGTTGCGTTTTTGCTTTTCTCATTTATTCCATTTGCAACAGCAATTATTGTCGATGACTCTTATACGTCATACCAAGATTTATACGATGCAATTCTTACTACGCTTTTCCCAATCACCTTTGTCGTGCTGTTAAATGTCTCGGGAAAATCTGGGCCGATAAAAAAGAAGCTGCTGCCAATGCTGGACGATCTATTGTACAATACAGTTACTTGGGTCATTCCATTAACGGTGTCATTTGCCTACGGTGATTCGAAAGCTGTAAAAATATTTTCAATTGTAAACATGTGTTTACATGTTGTTTGTGCAATGGCTGCATTAACCAGATGGAAGCAACTTGGTGATGTCGAGATTGATGATAATGAGATAAAGATAAGGTGTCGCATAACACTCTTTTTGGTACTTTTCCCCGTTTTCGTAATCCCATCATTCTGGATTGCTTACTTGGTGACTAACCATGTGGTTTCTTCAATTGAGTTATTATTTACTGTATTGTTTGGAATTTTGCTGGCTTTAATACCCATCCTCTTCCTAAGCGTGGGCGCTATGGTACTTAATTCGTTTGATAAGATGGCCTATACAATAATTAGTATTCTTTTTGTAAGCG